AACCACCTCGAGGATATATTGGCTCGTTTTAGTCCCTCGATAAAAAATATACCATTGCATACCCCTTTAAGTACTTTCAAGTTATAAACTTTTTGCCCTGCATCTCTGCACAGACGGAAGAGAATAACTTCTGCATTGTGTAGTTACGTCTACACGCTTCCTGCTGCAATTTTATTTCAAATAACCGACAAACGAGTCCAAGTCTACAATACAACCTTTTTCAACGACAATCATTTTCCCATTCACAAGTTACGGTTTTTGCCGAGTAACATTCCGTAACTCGGTGCAGTTGTAACGCGTAACCGTTACAGCGCCGCTAGGAGACCGTTTATTGCATTAATTGACAGCAGGAAGCTGGTTTGCACCCGTCTCCGTGCTTCGATGGCTTGCTACTTGTTAGAAATCCTAACGCATTTAATATCAGGGCTATTATATTCCTTGACTGTTCTAGGATAATCTGATGTATGTTTGCTTCACCTTGGCAAGACAAAACAATTTCAACGCCTACCATCATAAAAAATAATTGAAAACACGTAGTTTTTATATTAACTTAACACAAAAAAAAATACGAAGAAAAAAATTATATATATATCGCTCCCCATGAGGAGTCATGGAAAAATTATATAAGTGGAGTTACATTAAAAACGTTTATTGCTGCATTAGATACAGAAAAATATAACCCACATCCTCTCCAACACTTGTTACTCTATCGACTAATATTTTAGAGTATTTGAATACCTAAATGTTCAGTTTTCTGTTTATCGTAATAGATTTTTTATAACAAACGAATTAAACCTTAACCACTGCAATATGATCGGCTTTTTTTAAGAACTTTAGTCGTTTGTCGCCTCAAGTCTTTCAGCTATTGCCTTTAGATGGCAGTACATGTCAATATAAAATCAAAACGTATTAAAAACTTGCAATAACAGATATTGATCTTTCAACGAAATGCCAACTAGGTAAAATTTAATGTTACATCCTTTTAAATTAGAAACTGCGACCAATCATTATCAAGACTTCATAGTGTTTAACATTATGATAGTGTAAGTTTTGAAAGCAGGGGTTCTGATAGTAATCGATGCTAAAAGCACTTCAATTGATTTCTTTCATTCGTGGTATATACTACCTCGCAGTCAATAACACTATCGAAAATTGTAATCAGTCTTTTTTTTCATAGCACTACCTTTCTGATCGATTACGTTGTAATGTACTTTTAATTACGATGTACCAATAATGTTATGTTCGCTTGGTCATTGACGATTACCTCACTCAGTTACGCATTCTGCCCGTAGTCGTACATCTAGAAAGCAGTAATTATCCTTTTAAAGTCTCGGGGGTGTATCTTGTAAGCAATCCTCGCCCACACTTACTTTAATTGTGCCTTCTCGCAACCTGTTGGTTACTGCAGTGGAATTATATTGTAAATCGATACCGCCCTACCACTTGAGTGCTTGTGAACTTGTTTTATGGGACTGGAAATCCCTGTAATCGTAGGAGCTTTAAACTAAAGTTAGCGATACAAAATCAGACAATTTTTTTTCAAATCTACATTTATTTAAGAGCTTTGATCATTATTAAAATTCAAATATTTTATTTCAGAAAATAATAACCATAATAACAACTACCCACCCATAGCCCCGCACTAGGAAAACCCTGTATCGCGGGTGGCATGGACACACACACACACAGACAACGAGATAAATAAATGTAAGCCATACAAATATTTCTCCCGGCCCGAGAATCGAAACCGGGACCGCTGTGTGACTGTCCAGTATGGTAGCCGTTCGGCCGCAGAGGCACATTGGTTAGTGAACAATACAAACTTACACACTAATTGCAATTAACTTTTATAGTTAAATAAATTACTCCACTAATTTGTTATAATTATGAAACAAAGATACATTACATACTAAAGTTAGTAATTATAAATACACGCTAAGTTTGGGGTATACACATGAGGTTTGGTCCAGTGTTCAAAGAATGAATTTTGTATCCGACCAGCAATGATACTCAAGAGGCTGTTACATCTGCCACGTACTCTGCGCAACAAGGAGGCCACTCGCTTTTGCATAACTGCAGCATAACCATCTACTTGTGCATCAGCTAACATTCCCGAGGCGTTGCAGAATCGCGGAAGAATTGAACACGTCAGCTCTATCAGAGAAATTATGAGTCAAGATAATTCCAACTTTTTCATGAAAACGAAACCGTTCTCAAAATCTATCCGCTTTCGCAGTGTTCGTTATCATGGTCTCACCAACGACAACCTAAATGCATACGGAAGTCATCATCAAAACGAATCATGAGCCCAAAAACAAGGTACCTAGCTGCTGTACACTGTTGAGGAGTTCCTAGCTTGTTATTTTTGCAAACAGCCACATTTATGTACTAATTTTGTGCTCCTCGAATTTAGTGAAAAAAAAAAAATTAAGAAACAAAAAACGAAATTCGAAAAAGTAGCAAAAAAACGAATTTTGTGAAAAAAATAAAGAAACAAAAAACAAAATAAAAACAGAACAGGTCCAGAAATAAAGTTGGCGTAGTGTTCATTGGAGGTATCGATCTATGGGCGAAGTTTTATTGAAATCGGTTAATGGAAAGCGAGTAAAATTCAATAAACCGGATTGATCCCTTACTTTGCCACTCTTAGTGGTGGAATATTTTCTTTGAATTTGAATAGGACCCTTACTGAGTTAATCCTTTTCCAACAAAAATAGAATTATCGAAATCGGCTTACACATGTCGGAGAAATCGAGTAGCGTACACACAAAAAATACAGTCGAATTGAGAACCTCCTCCTTTTTTGAAGTGGGTTAAAAACACTTAATAGAATCTAAACAATCAAAATGCTACCTAACTATTATACATGTACACGAATGTAGTGATTGTGTCGAGTGTAATATATCCTGGGAAAGTTTCTATTTTGTCCTTACAATATTGCCCAGGCAATTGTAATATTTGAGCTGATATTTTACGAGGCTAGTGTTTGGACCTTATGCCTTAAGTGGGTTTACGGAGTGTAAGGACATAGCAAATGTGCAATATTGCGTAATCTTCTTTACAAACCTAAAATTACCGTGGTGCTGACCCCTTAGCTGACCTTTTGGTTCTGCGAGCCTTCTTATGCATTTAACAGAAGAGTGTAAAACCGGATACTCAGTAGCGTAACGTTACCAAAAATCATAGTGTGCAGTGAGCCGATGCTAACGATATGGACCCCCTTAGGCTACGGAGAGACGTTGGCTCTCTGTGTGTGTTCTACCGTCTTCATAACGGAGAGTGCTCAGAGGAACTTTTCGAACTGGTGCCACCGTCAAGTTTCCACCGTCGCCGAATGAGTAGAGCCCACCCCCACATCTCGGATGCCTGGCATTTTAAGAACATGCGGGCATCTCGTTTGTTCCTTTTTGTACCTGTAAGATGTGGAATGATCTTCCTCCTGAAGTATTCCTTTGCGCTATGACATGGGGTTCTTCAAAAAGCGTGTTTACAGGACTCTCAAAGGATGACCACCTCCCATCAAGTGGCTCGTCTTCGTTTGCCTCCTTCTTTACAGATCAAATCGGCTTAAAAGTTTTCTTGAAACGTCATTTATTATTGATGCAATAATGAAATCATATCAAACGAATTTTACGGCTCACAGGTTAAAGGTTAAGTTTGTTTAACAACTTTCTTAACACTGATCTACTCAGAACCAAATAGTCGGTTAAGGGTCAGGTACCTTAGGCATCGACTGTAATTACGGTGTTCTAATAAATGTATGTAAAACTAAAATAATGTAATCGCAAATTTAAGAATTGTAATGTTTCTAGTTTTAATTAATTATGCATAAGTACGGGGGTTATCGCACAACTGAACATAAATTAAGTCTGCGAATGTATGTATACTTGTGGCTTCAATAAGTACAAAAATAAGGATTAGTTTATTTACTCCACTTCAAGGGACTTAATAATTAAGAATTGTAATGTTTCTAGTTTTAATTAATTATGCATAAGTACGCGGGTTATCGAACAATTGAACATAAATTAAGTCTGCGAATGTATGTATACTTGTGGCTTCAATAAGTACAAAAAATAAGGATTAGTTTATTTACTCCACTTCCAAAACAAAATATTGTTCAATTGTATGCCGACGTAACACGTTCATTGACAAGTACCTAACCTTCATTGAACAAAATCCACTCGGAATATTAAAACAACGTGAGGCAATGCTGGTCTGGGCACGTGCTGTGCAAAGGCTGTTACATAAACCGCTGCATTAACAGTCTCAGCCTTTCACCAACACCGGGGCTTGTAATTTTCTTGCTAGTACTTCTAATAACTTCGAGAAACCGTGATGGCAAACGCAACGGTATCCGCGGATTTGCGGACGATTTACTTTTAGTATCGCTGTGAAATGTTCGTTCCTGAATTTATGGCGCTGCATTGGAAACCAATATCCGCGATTGTTATCTGAATAATGCGAAGACCTCGATATTATACGAGTTCGAATTTCTCCAGACTTTCGCCGTGTGTGTATTCTTTTAATTTGAGTGTCAGGTCGCGGTCGCTTGCATGACCGGTCCTCATTGTTGCAAGTTGTTGTCGCCTTGCAATTATAATATTATGTATTCTCACAAACCTTGCGTTTTGCAGTTCCATTAAACCGCTGTCGACAAAGACAGGAAGCTGACTTGCAATTCTGTATTACAATTACTGCAACACCACTGTATCTGCATTAAGTATATCTCCAATGAACAATACGCCCGCCAGCTTAATTTATGGACCTGTTCTGTTTTTTGTTTCTTCTTTATTTCACAAAATTTGTTTCTTTTTTTCGATTTTGTTTTGTTTTTTACAAAATTCGAGGCGCATGATGTTAGTAAATAAATATGGCTGTTTACGCGAATGAGCGAAAAATAAAGTTGGCATAGTGGTCATTGGAGGCATCGATTTGGTGACGGTAGGTGCGTGTAGGTCACCACCTCGGTGTCCGCATGAATGAGCCGATTATGACGACCCCCGCGCGCCCGCTCTGCCCCGCCACTCGATTTGTGAATGAAGCCCCCACCGGCGCGTGCCGCCTTGCCGCTCGCGCTCAGTCGCGCCTACGACGAACGCGCAGTCACGCGAGCGCATGTTTCAATTTCAAATTTTGACGTCTCGAAATTTGAAAACCGTGCGAGTTGTTTTACGTTCCTAACGATTAGCACTTGAGTGGAAGTTATTAGCTTGTTGCACTGCTGATGTGCAATAACCGCCGTGAGTCGCAGAGCAGGTAACTGGACTACGAAACCTGCCTTTGGGAAAGCCAACATCGTCAGACACCCATCGACGTAAACGGTAAGTACTCAGGCAAAATTCCTTTGATAACTTAAAGGAATAGGTTGGCTAGGTGACACGTAGCTTGGCTGCATTGAACGAAAAATACGATTGTGGGCAGAGTTGTAGGTGGTGCCCACGTAACTCTAATATGGTAGGTGTAGCACGTCTTCAAAACTAGCACTTTTGTATAGGCAGATAGTTGTCCTATAGGTGTATGATTTATTAAATGCTTTCTCTTATTAATCTAATCATTTGGGTACTCGGAATATATTGACCAATTTTAGTTGTTTTATCCGATATTTTTGTTTTCTATTAAGCTCGATAATCTGCTCCCGATAAAAGTATAATTATGTTGGGATTTAAGATTTTAGAATAAAAAAAAACAATTTAGAATCAAACCAGGATACCTACTGTATAATTTGTCACAACGCCGTGACCATACTGACAAATGTAAGTATACGCAATAGAATTTAAAAGATCGCCATTGGCGAGAATTTGAAAACTAGACAGATGCATTTTGGGTTTTTGTTTACAAAAACGGTCAAATTTTAGGCGCCATTTTAACAATAGTACCTACGTCTCAGGCGCTAAAGTCTACTTTACCTGGTGTGGCATAGCAAATTTTTTTCACAACAACCTCTCGGCAGGCGAAATTGATGAGCTCCTATTGTTTGCTAACATAATATTGATCGGTTTTCATTTTGGACCGCTTCATTTTACACGTTTTAAACGTGTTGTCGTTTGTTTAAGAGTTATTAATTTCAACCTTGTTTAATTATACGTAGGTTGGAAATTAAGAATAACAACATCAAATGACACTTATTTTTTTCCGATCTAAATCCCTGTTATTTGTGTTCTCAAATCAACCAATGTTTTGGTCTATGAGACGTGTCACCCATGACATGGCAGTCGTGATTTTAGGACCGGTAAAGGACCCGGAACTTTGGTTTGTTGTAGATTTGAAAAAATACTTTTATTTCCTATGCGTAACAGTCCCGCATCTTTCTACAACAACTACACTTTCTACAATAAGCTTTGTTTATAGTGACCCTCTCTATCAACCTCTTGGTTATGCGGGAAGGACACTATAACCCGTCCGCGCATACGAACCTTATAATCATATGCGTAACAAACGCCAAAACCTAAGAACTCGATACAAAATCAAAATTCGATTCCGAAAGTAGTTTCTGAGAGCAAAATACTTGATTTCATGCCAATCCCTGCACACGCCGGGAAACTAATTGAATATTCAATAAAACAAACGGATTAATTGGATCAATAAGATCCTCCACGTGTAGGTTCATAATAATTGAGCCTTAGTTTTATAGTTTAATTATAAACAATTCTACAGAAAGCTATAATATAACTTGACTGTCACTGATACCTTAATAAAACTAGTCAATCAAAGAGCTCTAGACTAATAAAATGTACATAAAAATTTTGATAGCTGATAATCGAGAAGCCCACGAGACACATAATAGCACCTTTTGAGAAAATATCGGCCATTTATGTTCCCCATTGAAGCCACAAATATTTTCTTCGTGTGTGATTTATAATCAAGTTAGTTTTTTTTTATTTCTTAGAGCTTGGCTAATAAAACGCCCATCCATCACGATCGTCGGCGGATATTAAATTGACACGCCTCCAGCACTCCCTCTTCCCATTACTATGATATTACACTTGCAAGTCTAAGTACTTGCTTCGCTACTTCGTTCCACTTCATTTCGCTGTAATGGGATGAGTAGAATAATAATAATAACGCAGACACTCATACTCCGCACTAGGGAAACCCTGTGTCGCGGGTGCCATGAAGACACATAGAGAACCACAACAGCCAAACACACGAGAGAAACAAATGCAGACCATACAAATATTTCTTCCGGATTCGAACTACAAATAAATGACAGACCAAGATAAGCAGGCAAAATGCACTATAGTCTAAACATTTAGGGCGCGTTCAAATTATTAATTAAATATAAATTTTCATTAAATTTTCCCATGCATTTTTTTTGTTGTTTTACATTAGCTATAAATTTTTCAGTTCGATTTTCATCCATCGTGGTTAATTTGAAAAATTAACGTATACACCTCACTAACCGTGACTGTAGCGTGACAGTCGCGCGGCAGTCGCGCGGTTGCAGAACTTCTAGAAATTGTATGAGAAATGACAGTCCAGTCGCACGGCCGCCGCGAGGCTGCAGCGCGTCTAACAGCGGCTATTTTGAACGCGTCTTTACTTATTTAACAAGAATATTTTCTTTTAATGAAAAACCTACCCCAAAAGTTTGTGGAATTACATCTATTTGTCAAATTTTATTGAAATCGGTTAACGAAAAGTGGGAAAAATCCAATAGCCACAGAACCATATTCATCCCCTGATTATACTCTTAGAGGTGGAATATTTTCTTCAAATTTGAAAGGGACGACCACTTCACAAATGTCAAAGTAATCTCGTAACATACACATAAAATACGGTCGAATTGAGAACCTCTTCCATTTTGGAAGTCGGTTAAATGTGTAATTATTGCCTTAACAAAAATTAGGCTTCCATTAATTGCTTTGACTAAAAGCTATTCCTGCCGCCAAGCAGTAATGTCAGCATTACTGTGTACCGGTTTTGAAGGGTTAGGGTGCTGGTGAAATTACAGGCACGTGTGGGTTGTCAACTTATGTCTTTGCTATTTAAACTGTTATGTACAGGCGTGTAGCTTACCATCAGGCGCACGACTTGTTCGTCCCGTCACTTGATATAATTAAAAAAAGCTAAAGTATTCATTTTCAACTACTACAACTACAGATATCAATTCACATGTAGTTGATAGCTCTTTGCCGTCAGATTATAATGAAATATATCATCTAAAGAACTAAAAAAAATAAAAAATAGAAGAAACTTACACTTAAACTTACTTAAGAAACGTAAAATAGAAGAACAAAATGTTGTCACTACTTTTAGTAAATAGAGTCGCGTTTTGCGCAACGTCTTCTTCGCTTTTCGGCTGACGCCGATTCCCATGGTGACCCCTAAAAGCTGTTAAGATCGCCAACGACCGCGACCATATTTTTTAAAGTAAATAGATTTCATTATTTATACAAAGATCGAACACAAAGTAATTTTCCTTCGATCGAGTCGAAACCTGTGTATGAGAAAACCAAACTCTGCAACTGAGCTAGAGATCGAGTCAGCAGACGTTACAAATTTATTATAGATCTTTTGTGTTATGAATGTACTCGATCAGGAGGTCTATTACGAAAACGAAGCAACGATCGAAGATCGTTATTTGACATAAGTATTTGTCGTCAAATGACAGCTATCGAATGCAATTTTGGCAATACTTTTATCGTGAAACTGATAAGTGTAGGACGTATGAGCTTCGTTCCGGACACAGTCACGTAGTGTCGTATTTTTGGTAGACTTCCTGAACCACTACCTAGCCTTGGAGCAAAGACAGCGATGGAACGAGCTCACCCAGAAGGTGCCTATTTAGTCGCATCATAAAGATACACGGGTACGTGCTCGGAAACACAGTCGCATTATTGCAAATCCGTACCGATTTCGGAGTTTGAAATGGGTGTGAAGTAATATCCTCTTGTGATTATTGACACGATTATGGAATTAAGTTGCCGGTGGACGTGTTTATGAAACAATCTATCAGTGATGACGGGCGACCGGTCAGTGGCCGGCGGATATTTAATCGACACGCCCTCGTTTCTGTGATGCCGGGAATCGCTTCAGTTTTACCCCATTAACGGCTATTCCATTCCAGTGGCTTCAATATTCAGTATCTTTATAAATAGACTGGATGTTACATATATTTTAAGGCTAAGATTTGCAAAACGATCTTCGAAAAAATAATTAGTAATTTGTGATAGCCGAAACGAACCCGGAACAGCATAATGGACCACCTTGAGAGTATACCCTTTTAAACAAGAAAGAATTTTCAAAACTGGTTCGCAATTGATGGAGAAATCGATATATACGCGGACATGCCTATAAAATTTGAGGATTTCCCTCGATTTCTATGGGATACCCCCCATCAGATTCTGACTTGGCGACAATGGGACCACCACGAGAGTGCACCCTTTCAAACGAAAAAAGAATCTTCGAAATCGGTCTACAAGTGACGGAGTAATTTGAAAACATACATAAAACGTAAATACAGCCGAACGTATAACCTCCTTCTTTTTTTCAAGTCGGTTAACTACGAAGTAAACTCAAAGTTTGATTTAATTTCTTGCTTCGTTCGTTTTATGACATTTATCATACTAACATTCTTAATCAGTTGTCTCTAGTTACAGGTTTCTTTTAGTTATAATCATAACGTAATAAAGGATGATAGCCTAGAGCAAGATGGTAGGATGGTCGTTCGTTTAAGTTGTCTGCTACTACTTGGTAGTCAACCGGTGACCATGAACTGTGTAACCGCTCTAAAATTTTAATAATTTAATTTTAAAATTAGGAGAAGAATGATAATCGCTTACACTGGATTGTTACAAATCTTCGGGAGGCAAGAAACTTAAAAAAAACATCCAGGTCAAACGACATTATAAAAAAAACAAAATTGGACAGAATTAAGGAGTGATAATCGCTTTGTATTTACAAAATCGTTCCTGTATAGAACTTTTCTAGCTTTTTATGTAGTCAGAACAGCCGAAGCATTAACTGAAACAGGTTTTTGAAAACCAATAAAGCGAAAACTTCTTGCCAGTGCCCGTATACACGAAGATAAATCCATTTTTAGGCACCAACAACAATGCCATTTTTGACTTTTTGTTATAACCTTATAACTCATCATTGATTTTATAGTCTCTGTTTCCTGAATTTTATTTCGTTTCTTTTATAAATTATGATTGAAACTGTACACTGCAATTTACTGCCTTTGTTGCATTAGTAACAGAAAAAAATCGCATAATTAACGCTGAACATAAAGAACAAAAAGTCCCGAGAAAATAAAAAAAGAATTGATGCTCGTGTCAAGTTATTTCAAGTGCAAAGCGAATAATTAATTAATTAAGAGTCT